TGTATCAAAGTAGCAAAGACAATTTGGAGGACTGTGGGCTCACAATCTCCCATAGCCACAAAACTTACTGGTGCCTCAAGGGTGGCCGCTCTCTTTCAATAAAGCCCACTTTACAGTTTACTTTTACTTTTGAGACAGTGAAAAGGGGGAGCTTGGTAGGGAAGAAGGAGCTTCAGCTTCAAGTGAGTTTTGGACCCCCACTCTCTTCAGCCCTAAGCAGCAGCTCCCCACATACACATAATTTGCATTATGTATTTATTAATGTGTATTATTAATAAACTCACTGTGGCCATTAACCCAATGAGTGCATCAAGTTGCTGAGCAGAGAGAGAAAAGGAAAACTGCATCTCATTTTAGCTCCTCTTCTCAACTCACCTGCTCCATCCCAGCTGCTTTATTTCTAAGAAGGGTGGCCACAGTTCCTTGTTTTTCTCTTCCCTCCCCATCTGTTTCTCCTTTTGTGTCGCAACTATTAGATTATAAACTTGGGGACAGAAACCTTTCCTTTCCTTAATAGATTTGCAAATTATTCAAAATGGCTTTTGTTTGTCCTGTATGATAAACATGCAACCTCCACTGCAGAATTTCAGTAAGGAGTTCAGCAATAACTTATGTAAAATGCACGAGTCTAGCTGATACAGAAATGCTTCATCTATCCCACCATCCAGTTGCCTTGCTGACGTTTCTGGAAGCTCTTCACTTCAAAGTGCATGTGTATTATTCTTAAAAGGCCTAACTTCAGGGCACTGAATAATTCAAAAGTTTGTCTGTGACTCATAATCGCAGCAACCAAAACGATAGATAGCACAACAGATTTCCAGCATACATCCCACCATCTTGAGAACTAGCCTCTTGTTTTTTTCACACAGATTTTTGCTCCCTTTATTCGATCCCAGACAAATCTAGACCAGCCAAACTGGAAGACCTCCCGTTTTAAGAGAGAGGTTATTTCTCCCCCCTCCCCGCTTTTTTTAAGCCCTGCAATATCCCTTTGCCACGGCATTAACTATCACGTCTTGAGCCAACGCCAGGGGAGGGGAGCAGCATTGGCAACCACACTGCCACTTCATTAGCACATCGCTGGGGCTGCGGGTGGGAGGGGGGGAGCTCTTAAAAAAAAGAAGAGAAAAACCCAACCCTTTACAAGCTGCCCATATGCCGCCGTTCC